ACATTCTTAACTTTAAGCACAAACATTCCCATGGAAATCATTGGTGGTGACTCAACAGCTTGGAAGATCGGGTCCTTAAAAATGTTTGGTTTCTATTGCTATTTTGCATATGTGTTGCAGGTTTTCCTACAGTAAAGCAGCAAGCTGCTACATGTCCCTTGTAACTGTGGGTACAGAGGAATGTACAATGGAAGCATTTTGTCATATATTTTGTGAAATCTTTGCCATTACCTCAAGTCTTTTCTGTAGATTCATTGTAGCACAGAAAGCTGCAAACTGAGACATAAATATTCACTCAGTAGATACCGATTATTTCTTTATTGTCAAAAGACATTTGTTGGGAGAGTTAATAGAGCGAGAACAACGTATCACAAGGTTTATTACTTTGTATGTGAGGCTGAGTAACTGGTTAACAAAACTGTATTGTTTGCTGACTGGAGTCATGGCATTTTGTAAGGGAAAGGAACCTCCTATGAAGTAGGACAGAAATATTCTGGCTGTCCTACTTGTAAAGGAAATAATCTGTGCTCATTTCTCAATACTAGTGTTTTGAAATTATGCAAGTACACCAGTGCAAGATGGTAATTAACTGTTGAGGAGACAGAGTCCAACTATTCCATGATGTCTTTTTTTTAGATCTTCCTGTTTTGTTCATATTAGTTTTACTATTTGTTTGCACTTACACCCTCCTCTTTGCTTCTAGAGAAAAAGAAAAACCCTTTTAGTTGTATATTGCAGGCAGTTTGTTGCCTGTCATATATAAAACTGCATCTTCCTTGCATTTTGGTGCAGCCTCTATCCTTATTCTGTGCTCACTTAATACTTCATGAATTAGAATAACATCCTCTTCTACTCCACTGTTTTTGTTAATTCTGTGTCTTGGGATTTTGACAGGAAAAGAGACTCTAGTTTAAAGCCAGTCAGAGTTAGCAACTAAGGATTTCAAGAATGCAGAGCAAGCAGTTGCCACAGAAGTGGCCAGAGCATCCAGTCTGAATGTGAGTCCAAGACTTCCCAAAGTTTTCCGTTAAGCGGTGGTTCTGGTTACAGCTAACTTTAATAATCACACTTGATACCAACCTTCTTCACAACATTCCATTTGCAGCATCTAGAGAGGCAGAATCCTGATTTCTGCCAAGGACTTTCAGGCAACACAGTAATAGTCAAATGGTAATGGTAATGCTGCTGTCAGTAATAGGAAGTTTATCACTGTACTTTAAAAGACTGTAAGCTGATTTACCTGTGTTGCTATATTTTTCCTTAAAAATGCAAGAAAAAGGTAAATTTAGATCCAAAATCTACTTGTTTTCTGGTACTAGCTCTGATGCAATGAATGTTTCTAAATGTATAGGTGTGTGAAGTAAAGTATGCCCCAAATCAGTGCACACCTCCCTTTCTTTTTTAAACCTGGATATTTAAGCCAGTGCACAGTGGCCAGCACTGCAGTCCTTCTGACCTTCTGCTAGTCAGGTAGGCATGAGGCTCTGCACTGGAACACAAGAAGAGGATTTCATTTTGCAGGCTGGAGAAGCAGTTGCAGTCTTTCAAAATACGGAGATTTGAATCACTGTAGCCTGTGAACTGCTCCTTGTTTTGTGACACAAGAAGGAGCCAATAAACTGCATCCTCAGTGCCCACATTTTTTACTCTTCTTTGGAAGCTGCCTTGCTTTGTGAATGTTCAAGTTTTCTTTCTTCAGCTTGGAAGATCCTGTTGGACAGTGAATTATCTGTCTGTGAGGTGGGAAGCTAGTTAGAAACCAGTGGCTCTTGCTCCATTTCTCACAGAAATATTATGATGTTACTCAAGTGTCCCAGGATGAATCATATCAAACCCCTTAGACTTTAAGATGCTTTTGTGGGAGGATAGGTAAGATTTGAGGTGTGTGCCACTACTGATGATGATACACAACAATGTGCCACAATATAGAAGCTGGTTTTAGTTTTAAAGTTCCTCCTGGTGCTGGTGGTTGTGGGTCCTGGAGGTGGGCTGTTGCTTTGGAGTAGCTGAATGAACCATTAATTCAACTCTGTCTCTGATGAAGAGAACGTTCAATATTTGTGCTGAGTATTGTACCACTATGTGCCTATATACATGTTAAGATTATTTTTTCCTTAAAGAAATCCCCATTAACTATTTACAGTTATCTCAGATTTGTAAAAAATACTTTCTGGTCTCTGGTTGTTGAATTTTTAATGAATTTAGTTAAAATTGACTTCTTACTCTGATCAGTTCTATCATCATTTTGTGTATTGGCATGTTCATGATGAGGGAAGGCAAAAAAGGGAGCGTGAGGACACCCAAACAAATTTAAAGTTTAATTTGAGTGAATACTTTCTGAAGGTTTAGCCTGGTGCTGTTCAAAATGCGATGCTTCTGAATCAGAAGTGGTAAACTTACAAGACAGAGTGCTGGAAGTTATCCATGGACATCCTGTTCTTATTAGACATGGCTGAAACATTCTGACAGCTTTCAAACCTGCTGAAATATTATTCGTTAAAAGTTTTGATGTCAACTCCAGCATTAATGGGAACACATCTTACTTATCTCTTTAAGGGTGATTGTGAAAAAGGGGGAAGACAGAAGTGTATCTGGTGAAAAACAGGGTGAGAAGAGAAGCGGAGAGCTAACTGTATGAGAAAGAAAGAGACACCCTGGGAAAGCAGCAGAGGGAATGAAAAAAAATCCTCATTTTTGTAAGTATGTCTTTTCAGGACTGAGGCAGTGCCAAACCTTGGACTTGGAGGCTGTTCGGCTGTTCTGTCCTTAATACATTGCACATGATTGTCTGTAGCTAGAAAAACATTTTTTGTGGTTTTTAAAAAATTGAATTATCCTTATATGAAATAAAACAAACGATGAGTTTAAATGACAGAGTAAAAAGAGACTAAATTCAGTTTGCAAGCCCTCAGAGAGTTCAAAAATCCCTTGGGTTCACAAAAACTCTGACTCCATAAGGTTCCTATATTCCAGAGTAGGCTGTACAATGGAGTTACTTCCATCTGCTTTAATTAAGTTTTCATCAGAGTCTTTCTATTTAACTAACGTATTCTCCTCTCAAGACATGTTTGTATTAAGAGCAAGATCCAGAATACTCCTTTGCCACTTCCTGTGCAATCTAGATAGAAGTTAGGTATGGAGAGAAGTTATAAAACCTGTGTATCTTTCAAAGAGCATAAGCAGTTGAGTATGATGGTGAATTTTTATTTCAGGACCTATGCCTCATTCCAGAGAGGCTTATTTGCCTTATAAGATCTGCATCTTGACCCACTGGAAGTATTTAATGAGGCTAAACCCCACAAACGGCAGCCCTTAGTATATTCCTTAAAAAATCTTTTCCTGTTGGCTGCCTCTTGGTAGCTCCCCCTCAGCAGGACTTAGCTTGTTCCTCAGAAAAACTGTTCCCTAGCCTATATGATATCTAGGCTTCCAGCTTAGTGTCTTAACAGGCTAACAGCATCCAGTTTTCAGGTGCTGGACTGCCTACGGAGCAACGTGAAGCTGGCTCTAAGTGTTACCTCCAAAGAGAAGCAAAGCCTTGCAGCACTCCAACCTGTGATGCCAATGTATCTTCTAGGTAAGCAGCACCTATCAAGTAGATGCTGAAGCAGGAGTGTGCATGGATGTGGATACTGAAACAAGTTGATACTGATAGTCAATATCAGTAGACTCTGTTAATGAGGAGAGATACTGTGGGGCTGGGTGAACATAAGAACGTGGGGCTGGGTGAAAGCAAGGATTCACCTAGCCCAGGGGGTCGACTATGACATTTATCTGACAGGGAGGCAGTCTGATCATGAAGATAGTTTTTGAGAATGAGCCTCATCACTGGTACTTCAGGTAGGCTGGCTCCTGCAATCCCTCCAGATCCCAGGAACTTACAATCGTAGAATAGTTAGGGTTGGAAAGAACCTTAAGATCACCGAGTTCCAGCCCCCCTGCCATGGGCAGGGACACCTCACACTAAACCATCTCACCCAAGGCTCTGTCCAACCTGGGCTTGAACACCACCAGGAACATTCACAACTGCCTTGGGCAACCCATTCCAGTGCCTCACCACCCTCACCCTAAAGTACTTCTTCCTTATATCCAATCTAAACTTCCCCTGTTTAAGTTTTAACCCGTTACCCCTTGTCCTGTCACTACAGTCCCTAATGAAGAGTCCCTCCACAGCATCCCTATAGGCCCCCTTCAGATACTGGAAGGCTGCTATGAGGTCTCCATGCAGCCTTCTCTTCTCCAGGCTGAACAGCCCCAACTTTCTCAGCCTATCTTCATACAGGAGGTGCTCCAGTCCCCTGATCAGACTTGACTGTGAAATTGGTGATGTGGGATACTGTTTTGTTCTTTTTCTTGGATTAAAACATGTTCCTACCTTCAAACTGTCAGTAATCTTAAGTGGATGCCTAGGGAAAAACATAGGTAAAAGGTGATCTGATTGCTGCTTAAGCCTTTATCAACTTGTGAATCTTTGATGTTCCTTGCAAGGAATTCCACCCATTTCATGAGAACTACACCTTTTAGTTCAGTTTGAACTCTTATGTGGTGCTTCATTTGAGATCATTCACTCTTAAACTGGTAGATGCAGCACAAAATTGGTGCCAGACTACTCTCTCCATGACACTTACGATTTTACACCTCAGTCATCTCCTCAGACTCTAGAGTCCTGAATTATTTGATCATTTCCTTACATGGAAGCTACTGCAGGCTTCTGACAACCTGTCCTTGTTCTATTTTTTATTTCTTTTGAAGTATCTTTTGAGTCCCGTTTCTTTACTCAGTTTTGGAGCTAACTCTAGATTGTAGATGGAGCCTTCCTTGGAGTTAGGTACCTTCACTAGTAGCCTAAAAAATGATGTGTAGTGACTCATTTTTCTTAGGACACATTTACATGCATGTATGTGTGTGAGTATATGTGAGTACTTGAGATTGGCTTCACTTGCTCTTCTACCATGGATGACACAAAGCTGTTAACATCGTTGTAGCTAGTGCAGGTTTGGGAACTCGGGTGTCCTGCCTTCCTGGCCAGTATGTGACCCCTTGACTGGAGAGTCACACACAGGCTCATTCTCACACTCAGATTACAGAACCATCACTTACGCCATGCAGTGTGGCTGCTTCAGGGACACCCTTACTGCAGCATAGCCTTGCCTCCTGCTTCAGGACATCTCTGAGATGTAGCAGAGGTGGGTTCGCACTTGCTTGGGATCTGGGAGCAGGTTTTCCTTATCTTCTATCTTCCTAAGCTGTTGTGTAACAGGACTTTTCCCCGTCTAAATGAAACAGCAGTGCTTGCTCCTGTAGGTGTAGGGAGTGTGCTCATGTGCATGAGCAGTAGGAAGCGTGTACAGTGGCACTGTAGATATCATAGGACAGAAGGTCACAGAGCAGTTGGTGACTTTGGGACATGTGCTGACAACAGATAGCGTACTGAATAACTGCTGATAACGATAGAGGTGCATATGGGATTAGGTAGCAGGAAAGATAGGATCATAGGATTTTATTTGGGACTGAGTAAATGCACAAAGTTAACTACATCTGCATTAGGTGTTGAAAGATTGTGCAGAAGGTTGTTGAGCAACTATTGCATCATCATAGTTGCCTACATCATACAGCAGTGGCAGCCTGGATAAGAGGTCAGTAATGCCCCAGGTGTCTGATGTGGACTTACTGGGAAACAGCTATTACACTGAGGAACTATCTCACTGGGTTCACAAAGACGGTATTACTGTTATCCCTGCTTAATGTGTGGACTTGGAGCCCAGAGGGATTTTGTCTTACCTAAGCCAAGGTCACTCAGAAAGTCTTTGACAGGGCCTTGAGCACTCAGGTCTAGTGTGAAGTGTCCCTGCCTGTGGCAGGGGGGTTGGAACTAGATGATCTTAAGGGCCTTTCCAGCCCAACCTGTTCTATGATTCTATGATGCTATGATCTGTTGTATAGCATCCCAGTATCATAATTGGCCACCAAAGCTTTTTATTTTTTTTTTTCTTTTAATTATTCAAATCTTTTGGGAAGCTGTGATCCCCATTCTTATGCTTTCTATTCTCATTCTGTGAAAAAAACCCAAATCCCTTGTGTGGAGCACAAAGGAAGGAATTGATGCTTCATGGTGAGAATAACTTTCTGTGACTTCTTTCCTTCTGAGCATCTGTGAACACAAAAGGCTATCTGTCTGTCATTTGAAGAGGAAGTAAGCCAGCTTTCACATCCTGACTTCTGGACAGCTGGTTTAAAATCTGGATGATTAAAACTGGAATAACAGAGATAATCAGTTTAGAAGTGTATTAACAGAACATTAAGGTTGGGATTTATACCCACAGTTAACAGAAGATTCAGCTGTGGGTTTGTTGTGGAATTTCTACTCATTATGTTTTAGTGAGGCAAGACAAGTTTCTGGACAAGTACCTGTAATGTAACACTGAACTAATGAGGGTAAAATAGTGTTCTGAAGTGATACTGCTGAAGGGATGTGACGGGTTTCCTTGATTTGAGACTTTGCTCACCTGTTGTTGTAGGTAAACGCAAGCAAGGGATGGAGAGAGAATTCACCTTAATTTCCTTCAGAAGAGGAGATGTAATGGTTTGGTGTGATTAGTGATTTAATGGTTTCATGATCCAGAGATGTCCTAGCCAGAGCAAGTCACATTGACTTCTGGACAGGAGGGTCTTCAGGAAGGTCAAGACAGAAGCAGGATCTGCATGGGTGCTGGTTCCCTTGCCCACTGAGGTCCCATGGGGTGGCTGTCAAAGGAAACCGTTCAGATGAGACTCATCTCGAGATCCGTGTAATCAAGTGCATTACACTGATGTGATGTTGCTAATTTCTCTGACGAAATGTAGCAGTATGCTGTGTCCCTTCACAGGTGTGTCACTTTTCTGCCCTCTTGGTATCAGGAGTGAGAGTGGCAATGGTGATGGCAAGGGGACAGTTCAAGGAGTATAATCCCACATGGGAGCTCCCCCTTCTGTAAATGCAAAGGAATAGGGGCTAATTCATGGTGGGACACAGAAGAAAGGCTCATTTCTCACTGGGTAAACTAAGAATGGAAGAACATGAGAGGTTGTCTCTGAATTTACCTATTTCAGTTTGCAAACATAATGAGTTGTAAATAAGAGTGTTTGGATGGGGTTTTCTTTACAAATGAAGAAAGACTCTTCTGTAACCATGCGCTGTTACCTGTATGATAGCAACCCCCTGTTCTGTATGGCTGTTTGAAATAAGTAGAACTGATGTTGAAAAATGAAATAAAAATATCAATAAATTAATTGCATGATACTGAAATCAACATACCTATCTGTGAGCAGAATAGCAGGTGCTGCTCTGCTTCATAGCAACCATTTTGATCAATGGCTACTGATATGTTATAGCACCAGAAAGAGTTATGAAAATGCCAAGGAAAGATTTCCTCCTTTGGAAATATCATCATGAAATTCCATCTAGAATGGATTCCCCGTAGGGGATCTTAAGCTAGAAATCCAGAGATACCTAGAGGTAGCTCTAGACAATGAGCAAACCCCATTAGTAATGAAAACCTGTTTGTATTTCATGTAGGGGAAAATAAGTGTTTTTCCAAATGCACATCATTTCCAGTAACAACTTCGCTGTGTGAAAATGCTTGTTTATTATGGCCTGTGTGAACCCTTTTTTGGCCATGTATACAGAAAAAGGAATTCTGCTCTCAAAGCCTTAAAAGCTCTGGTGCCCATGAATCCACGAGGATAATGCTGCTAACAAAAATCACTTCCTTTTTTTGTCCCACTGTCTCTTTATCCCTTTTTGAGTGACTAGTGTTAACGTCATTGTCCACAGGTCTTCATGCACAGATTTTAATCTCAGCTTTCCTGCACTGGGTAGTTGTGAGTATGTGAACACACAGTTGTTGTCATGTTAGAAGATGGTGAAATGACTTCTGCCCCAAGTATTCTCCTGCCATTTATTCTTTCCTGGAGTGTATTCACGTAAATGTTCTTTCCCACTTCCTTTATTTAATAATGTATACGCAGTTTCATCCTGCTGTTGAAGTTATTTTTTGCTTAATAATGAATGTGTATAATATGCATTATGCACATTAATATGATAATGGTTATACATATGTACCAGTGCTTGTTGTGAGCTACTGTTTTACAAAGGGCAAAAAATGAATAAGGATTTATGAGGTTATATAATTCTTGATGTCTTCCTTGAGCATTGTAACCTTCTAGTGTCAAAATAGAAACCTGAGTGGTTATTCTTGGAAAGTAAGGACACAGGAGTAGACCTTCCAAAAATGCAGCAGAACACAGGGATAGATACTAATAAAAACATACTCTCAGCTATATTAAAAACCAATTGAATTGTATGCTTGTATATAAAGTGGGAAATGCATTAGTTCTGAGGAAATTCAGCAAATTCTTGTTTTGTAGAACTGGGATTTTTCACAATGTAAATTGTACGGTTCATTGATGTCAGCCTGATTTCTCTGTGTTATGGTCAAAACTATCTTTTGGGTGGTTTGTGAGTAACATCCTGCTGAATATATTTTTCATTCCTGTGTCTGCAGAATCCAAGTTGTTTTTTACTTATGCAAGAAGCCTCATCAAAATAGCCCATAGTGTAGCTCTGAACCAGAAAAGGATGTAAGATTTCTTTAAGCAATTTTATGTTTATTAAACAACAATTATTTGCTTTTTGTTTTGTATCTAAGCATTTACTGTTTTCATCTTGTTTTCCAGAGACACTTCATTACAGTGCTGTTTATTTTATTGCTACTGGAGCATTAACACCTCCCTTCCCCCCCCTTCTGAAATTTTAAGTAAAATTGAGTTTACTTCTAAATGTAAGCTTAATATGGTTATAGTTTTGACTAAAATTGAAATAAACTCTTATTAGATTATGGCATCTCATTCACTTAAGAAATTATTGCTTCTGGTCTTACAAATGAGCTACTTTTTTGTCTGAGTGAACTGGGAAAAGGCAAAGGCAACACAGCGTGTTTTCCTACTGCACCCCATTTGCAGGCAACAGTACTGCAGACGAATATGCAATGAAAAGAAACAAAGACTGAAAGTTAATACCCCAGGCGCCAAACACATGTCTGTGAAAGAGGAATGCGAGCAGACATTTCTGTGTGCAGTACACTGATTTCTAATGGACTCTTTCTCTTTTGCAAAGGTCAGATTATTGGGCAAAACAGTCTCGTGCAATGTATCACCTGCCTTGGTGTCTGTAGAGTAATGGCATGGATGAGTTTCCTTGCTATGGGGAACATCCCCAAGGAAGTGATTGATACTTCTGCTGGTAAGACATGGAGAACTCAACAGGTCAGTCCTGCCAGTTCTGGCTGTGGACGAATCACTTTTTACACTGACAAAATATTCTCTGTTGCAAAGTGCCGGGTGTCCCCGTAACACCAGAGGGATGGGATGCCAAGGAAGCTGTTCACAGAGCATCATACCCTGCCTGGTTTTTCATTCCATATGGCACTTCATTTTTCAGTCTCCTTCCCTTTTTAATTGCTGATGGTGTGATGGAAAACATCAGGGTGATAATTCTAGTGTCTGAAGTGAGGGCATGACTTAGTCACGGGGTAAGAAATCAGGGCAAGCCTTGCCACAGCCTCCTGTGAATTCAGGTTTGCATCCTCAAAGTTGCCATGGGAGAAGTTGAGCCTGGGCAGAGGCAGTGGGAGGGCCACTAGTGTGTGCCCAGGCCCCAGGGGAGGACAGAGTCACTTTAGAGATGGCATCTGAATAAGTGCACAACTTGCTGCCAGCTGCAGGGTCAGTTTCTGGTTGTGGCTGGCTGTGCAGCTCAGACCACCGACCTGCATCGCTTACAGCCACCAAACCACTGGGGAAACACAGCAGCTTTTCTCAGTTCCACAGCTGAACTTAGAGAAGAATCTGAGAGATTTAAAACAATAAACAAGTCCTTGAGTCTTTGACTCTTTTGAGACAAATTCTCTTTCTGCATCAGGGCTCTTAATTTAGAGTTTGGACTAATCTATACTGCTCTTTCCATACACAAACATACAACTGTGCAGCTTAGAACGGCAGGATTGCAGCTTGTAGATACGAAGTTTCAACATTCCTCTTGGTTTCAAAAGTCATTTTTCTCAACTAAGAACTACAAAACTTGATCATAAAGCCAAGCTTATGCAGGATTTAAGCAATAGCAGGCAGTATAATAGTATTAGATTAACTTTTGAAAAGTGAAGCTGTCTGGAAGAAGAGTAATTGAGCCTGGAATTTCTCACTGTCTTTGTTATCCAAATTTTGTCAAAAATAAAACTTACTCTTTAGATAAGTAAGAATGTTATTTTTTCGAAGAAGGAAATCGGTGGCATACAGTGTGAATAGTGTTTCAATGATCCTTTATGGTTGTGGAAATATATAATCAGTATATACAGCTTGTGATTAGCATGGTTTGAGTATTATAGGTTTCACAGAACTGTGATTATAATCTTTCTTCAGATTCTGCCTCTAACCTTTTCAGAACTAATTGACAATTCTGAATTATGAATGTAACATTTTATGCAGGTGTTTTTTATTGAGAATTCAGTGTTTTGTACCATGTAGTAAGAATAAAAGTTGTGAAGGTATCTAATAAATATATGATCGTACTAGAGAGTTTGCATCAGGCTGTGAAGATTTTAAAGGAGGAAGAGAAAAGAAATCTTTGGAAGTTATACCTGATAGCTTTTTCTCACCCATCATCTCTTTGGGAAAGAGTGAAGTTTGCACTTTACAAAGGTGCAGGATGTGAAATCTCCAGATGCTCAGAAAGATGTATTTCAGTGTTGCATAACGAAATCCGATGGGTGGAAATGTCCTTCAAAGGCTGTTTCCTTCCCTTGAATAACAAATGCTGTCATCAACTATTTTTGATTAGCCTGTGAATTACAATCCTGACAAGGCAATGGGGTTCTGGTTACAAATGTACCTTCAAGCCCTTAGCAGCAGACATGTAATCATGAGCAAAACTTGGCCACCTGCAATGGCAAAGGGTTGTTCTCATGGTCCATAATGAAGTGCTGGGTCTAGACTCATCTCTGTAGGACGTGCCTGAGTCTTAAGCACCCATGACATTGGCAGTGGTTGTAATGCTTTTGTAGCTGAGAGGAAACACAATAACTCCTAGAATACACAGTTTGGAAATGTGGGAAAAGTGGAAATGACATATGCTCAATCAGCAGTAAAACAGAAAAACCTCCACTCTTGTTTCTTGGCTACATTACATGTATATTTAGAGAGAGAGTGAGCAAAATCTTTTGGGGAAGCAATTCAGCATATTTTGGTGATGTTATTCTGGGGGAAAAAAATACACTAGTGTGTGAAAATGTGGAAACCAAACGTAGCAACAACAGGTTTGAAACAAATTCTAATTTTCACCTAGAAATGAGACTACTCATTATTGTGTACATTATGTGTGTCTTTAGCAGCGCAATGGGTAGGATAAGTTACTATTCTTACTTACACAGTTCTTACTTCTTGGTGTAGCAAACTAAACAGTTTAATTCCTTGTTGTTCACACTTTTCCAATATTTTGTAGGAGTTACCATTTTTTGTTTTTACCCTCAGGGTATGTGTTAACCTCTTTACTCTCTCAACACACATTAGTCTCTATAGCTCTTTTATCTCCACTGTTGCTGTTTGCTGAATGTGTTCCAATATGTGCCTGTCATTCTGGTATCGAGGTATCCAGATCTGTATACAGTCATATAAAAAGGATCAGCATATCCTAGTTCAGTACCAACAGTACTGAATTATAAATTTTTAGGCTTATAAACATTTTGACACTCAATATCAACTCACTCTTTTCAAGTAAGGCTGCTCTTTCTCAAAGGACTTAAGGTTATTATTTCCTACATGCCTTTTCTTCTAAACTGAACCTCACTTGCTTGTTTCCATCAGAATTTTTCATCTCATGGTTTTATTTGCTAACGCTGATCCGGTTCTAATGTTAGTTTTGTGTATCACATGTCACTGGAAAAGCAGCCTCCTTTGATGGACACAATTGTAAGATCCTGATTTTGCATCATTTCAAAAGAGAAATCCTGCTCTGCTTACTACTTTCTTCCATGTTTTTAAGGTGGGAAAGTAGATATAAATGAGCTTTCCACTGATCTGTAGGACATTCACAAGCTACCTCCCAATTCAGTATAGGACTTTGCAGTGTTGGTCTTCCAAGAGGTTTGCTGTCTAGTCAAACCAAAGCCAAGACCAGTGTGTAAATTAGGAAAGAAAGAAAAGGGATGACTGCTCTCGACCCTGCAGGAGCTCCTCTTCAACAGGTGACAGACCCTATAGAGGTGGTTAGAGCCACCACTTGCAGGCTGACCCTGCCCCTCCATGCTGATAGAAACCAACACGAAAACCCCACCTGGGATAACTACTGGCAGCTGTACCAGTACTGCCTTTGACGAAGCACTCTTCTGCTGTCAGTCCTCCTACAACAATAAAGCTGTTAATCAATGCAGGGAAGCCACGAGCACAGGAGACAGCTTTCCCTGCAGTTACAGCTACGTGGTGGAATGTACATCCCACAAGATGTACAGATGGCCACGAACCTCCTTGCACTAAGGGCTAAATGCAGAACTTCTTCCTTTGATTTAGCACTTGCCGAAGACTCTTCTATGCAACAAACAAGTTACTTATTCAGTAGCTGGAAGGGGAGAAAGAGGATTTGTGTTTGTTTAAGTATTTTGGTTGTACTTTGTTATTATGGTTGTGTGGGTTTATGCTTACCTAAACAACCAGAAATATTCCAAAATACCCTGGTTAATCAAGTAATTTAGTTGATGCTTCAAGGGAGGTTTAATATAACTCATCTTTTTTTAACAAACATCTTTTTCTGCAAGTTAAATGATGCAGTAGAGTTCCTCAGCTGGTAGGAAACAGTGTGCAGGGCCTAAATCTCAGGATTAACCTGAACTATGTCATCCGCAAAGAGGCACAGTGAATGAGTCTGCTGGATTAACGATCCATCACCTCTCTGCTGCCTGCCATCGGTGCCCAACGGGGACTTCAGACTTCACCCTGACCACAGTTAGGGCACCTACGAGCACCTGCCTACCCGTGGAGCTCTGAGCATAGAGGGTTCCAGCCTTACACGGGGCGAGCAAACCTTCATTTCACCTGGGAGAACACATGGAAGGGTAGAGCTCTTCTACTGGGTTGATTCTGACTTTGTTGTCAGGAGTGAGAATGATGCAACTACCCAGAAATGTTGAAGCAAAACCCCCCCATCTTTAAAAGTAATTGCTTCCTCCTTTTGTAAACTGCCTGCTCTTTAAGCACTAGGAATCATTGTAATTAATCCTCAATTCAAGTTTCTGTATCTATGTTACATTGTTATGTTTACTTAGATGTAAAATGCATTATTCTTTACATCATTATGGCATCAATCCACACAGTCTCTGTTACACGCACAGGCAGCTCTAAACTAAAACATTAGGTGGAGTGTTAAAGAGCTACTTAGGTGCCAATATGTTAATTAATTAATCACAGGCATGTTTCAAAGCATTCTTCATACCTGAGGTGGGGCTTCTGGGCTATTATGAAATGCCAAACTTCCCTTGGGGCTTTGAGGATTGCACTTCTAAATTCCTTAGAAGTTCAGGGAAGCAAAAAGGTATGTTTTTGGTGTGAGTCACTGGAGTGAGGTAGGAGATAAAGATTTCTTATTTTGTTTTATACTGGGGGAGGAGGGCAGTAGTCAGTCAGCCAGCCAGTGTTTCAGGAAGGAACTAGGTGGAGAACAAAGAGATATTTTTCTAACCCCTTCAGCCTATTTTTCTAAATGCATTTTAATTTTGATTTTTTTTTAAGTTTAATTTTTCTGAACTCTCTTAAGTTCACATCTCTGGGGGGTATCAGCCTTTCTTCTCTCAAGTTCTGGGTAGAAATCCATGGTTACACTTTGTGCCGGCTTCTTGTGTAGCAAAGGGTAAGCAAATGCAAGTAACTTCAGCAGTTCAGTACCAACAACTTGAAAACAATGCATTTTCTCCCGTATTTTGCAACCAAAACATTCTTGTTTTCTTTCAGCTTTTTGGCTGTGAGGCTGTGAGGTACCTGCAAGGCTGCATCTGTGGGTATCCCTCACACTTCCCTTTTGTGTAGTAGAAGAGGAGATGTCTATCAAATAACTTCATTATGTTTCAGGGGAGCTGAGGGGAGGGGAGGAGCAGGAAATATCACGAGACTTGATAAAAAGACAAAACATACGAGTAAAGAGAAAGCAGCCCTACCACGGGTATGTGTTGAGAAGTGTCACCCCCGAAGGGAAGCCTCTGATCTCGGTAGCTGCATGGTCAGCTCTGTGCCATGAGTGCAAGAGGACACCTGGAAGGCATCCTTGGTGAGGCTCAGTGAGCCTGACGTGTGAAAAGGACCATACTAAGCAGAGGTGGAGTATGGCAGAGACTGAGCTGAAGAGACATGGCTGGTGATGTGTGCTTGCAGGTAGTGATCTACGCTGTCACCCACTGTCTCATCCCAGCCTTTGGTGCCAGAGTTAAAAAGTTAGGGAGTCGTGGGCCACCTGCTCTGCCTAAAACTTTCACTTGAATTGGCAGGAAGAGTAAGTGTAATGGAATTTTTTAAAGGGTTGGGCAACTCTGTTTATATCTGACTCACGCTGCGTGTAGGTTCATGAAACGTAAAGCGATTCCTGGATCAGATACAGAAGTGCCTCACATGTCAGGACAAAGCTGGTTCTATGTGGCATGTTAGCGCTGGGGGAAGGTCACTCGGTTTCAGGTTTTTCTCATTACCATTCCCACTCAGTATCTCATGCTTTACCTGCGGCGAAGTTGTGCAACACCCTGGGAACGCGTTAATGCTTTCCCAGCAAAGGTGCAGAGGAGAGACGGTGTTCAGAGAGCCCCTCCTAAGTCCTGCAAGGCTCAGCCTGGAATATGTTCAGGCAGGACCTTGGGAGTGGGTTCAGCACTGCACAGATATCACTGATGAAGTGGAAGATCCAAACAGTTGGTCTCTTTACTCCCATTCAAAGGGGTCTCGGTCCACTGGAGAAATGAGAAAAGCAGGAAAAGGTTTTCCTTCTCTGGAAAGTTCACAAAAGCTCCTCGGAATGGGGTCTTTGAGACTCACCGTGCAGTTAAAGTGCTTTGTGAAAGGTGCCTTGTTTCTGAAGGAAACAAAAACCAAACTGCAGCAGAACTTCAAATATTTTGGTTGAATTCTAAGATTTCAGCTGATGGTTTAAAATAGATCATCAGGAAAGGGGGGGAAATTCAGACAAATGTTGATGTGAAACAAACGCCACCTTTTACCTGGATTTCTTCTGCAATAATCATGGGAATACAGGCATAAACTCAAACAAATATGGAAAGGGAGTGGCTTACTCAAAGCCTTATAAATAAAGTACAAAGGTATCGCAATGGGATCTTTAAACTCGGTAGGGCATTTTGTAACCAGGAAAGATTTGGCAAGAATCTCTTATTTACATTCTACTGGATTCAGCTGTTCTTAGCTATTGGGTTGTTGCTTTCAGCTGCAATGACTGAATGCAAGCCCACAAGACAACTCTTCTTTTACCGATTTTCAAATTGATGGGTATTATTGTGCATTCTTCCTGAGTGTGGTAGGAGAATATCCTGGATCAAAATGTTAAACAAATAGTGTAATAAAGAAATTGACCTTTTTTTTTTTCCTTCTTTCCCTGTTATGGTGGTTGCAAAAGAAATGTACAGCAAACACACATCTGTCAAAACTTCAGGAGTCAAATAATGTAGAAGGAAGGGATGAAGGAATAAAAGCTGCTTTATGTAGGCAGGTTTTAACTTTTAATAATATATTTTGTTTAACTTTTCTAGATCTGTGCTGCCAAGCGGCCCTTACTTTACAGAGCTGTCATGCACTTGAATGCAGGGGCACAGCTTGTTTTGAAAGAAACTGCAGAACAAACCTTGGTTTTATGTTACTGGAAAGATGTGTGCTTTCTTGCAGTATCGGCAGGCAATCAGAGTTTCTATGGACCTGGTGTTAACAGAGTTATAACAGCATGAAACTCGAATAATATGGTGATGAATGAGCCTGCAGGCTTGGGGAGGGGAGGAAATCATGTGGAATATTTTTGGGAACAGAGCAGTGTTTGGTAGCCAAGGAGGATCCTGCCACTGTATATGGTCCCTACTTTGTTCATGTTCATTCAGGAAGAGCCACACCTTAGGCTTGACACTGCAGGGTGATAGCTGGCTGTCACTTTGCCATGCATGTGGGACGAGTGCTCTGATACAACGCTCTGTGTTGGACATGCCTGTTTGCGTGTTGCAGCTTGTGTTGTATTTTTGCCTTTATTTGTGATCACAAATACGGTCTGAATTTCAGCACCTCTGCCCGTTGGCATTGATGGAGTGGGATTTCTCAGATACCATCTCTGAATAATCCTGGAAGGATTTGTATCTGCAGCACCACAGGTTATTAACACTAGTAAATAGCCTGGCTTTATGACCAATTAATGTCTTTACCTCTTACTTACATCTTTGGATTTTATTTCCATTGATAAAGACAGGGAGATCACAAGTTCCCTGAAAGCCACTGGGAAATACCCATTAATACAGTGGAATTGAGCAGCAATCTATTGTTGCTAAGCCCAGGCAGAAAAGCAGATAGACAGATGAATTAAGTGGGGAAGAGGAACAGAGGCTACATCTCTTTCAGGAAATGAATTATTATGTAGTAATTTACTCTTAAAGCTCAATTATATTAATTAGTTATTACATAGATATCTACATTGCTTCTCAAAAGTGGCCTTGAGGACATAAGTTGCTGCCATTTTGGTCTCTCTTGAGCATTCGCCTGTGCTTGACTCTGAGCCTGGCAGACACGAGGGTTTTGCAAGTCCCAGCAGGTACTCTCTGCCTGCTCCTGAGCTAGGGCTTTGCTCTTCACGTGGGCCACAAGCGTGGCATTGATGATGGCCTCCAAACACAGGCTATATTCACCTGTCATACTTCCCACATTGATTACAGGATGAACGCAGGGAGGAAGCCGAAGGCTTATCTTTAATTTGCAGCCCTCTCCTTACTGTCTGATATTCCCAGTTGCCCTTGGTCTTACAGAAACCAAACAATGGTGCTCTGTTGCTGAAATGGATCATGACTCCCTCTCCCCAGTGTGTAGCAAAGGGCTGCTGTAGAGCAAACCTTGCAAACAGCAGGCTTCTGCCTCTGAGATCAGGGGTCAGAAAATCCACATTTAAAGTGATGGGTGAAACATTCTAGCAAAACTTGCTTTTACTGCAGTGCCAGCCCTGCAGAGTGCAGCACAAGAAGATGGACACCTCTCTGGGTAATATCTCAAATGACTTCTTGCATTACTTTAATTGACAAGACGCAGAATCAGCTCCATGATTTTTCTCCTGCCTGAATGGGTATTTATAGGGAAATGTGACAACTATACTATGTGTACCCAATGCATCTCACAAGCGTACAGGAAAGCTGTTCAGTGCAAAGACTCAGTCCTAGAGGCTTATGTAGTGCCTGTACTGAAGACTTGCACCTTTATTTGGGTTGTAAGTACATTTAAATAGCTGTGATATAAGGTCTGTGAGACCAAAGCAAAAACATGTTTGTAACCATGGTAACCTCCAGACATTCCCTTGCACTGAGAGAGTATGGGGTATAGGAACAGCGCGAGGATGGACTGAATACTAATAGTGGTGCATGGCCTGGCAGGGTTCTTCTTTTGCTCCTGGTTGGTAGGAGAACACAGAAAACTACTCTTCCCCTGGTCTCAGTTGTGTAGTACGGCTGATTAGAGTAAACCACTTTCTTCTCAATTGATTGCATGGTCTGCGTGAGTTACAATCGTAGAATAGTTAGGGTTGGAAAGGACCTTTAGATCATCTAGTTCCAACCCCCCTGCCATGGGCAGGGACACCTCACCCTAAACCATGTCATCCAAGGCTCTGTCCAACCTGGCCTTGAACACTGGAAGGGATGGAGCATTCACAGCTTCCCTGGGCAACCCATTCCAGTGCCTCACCACCCTAACAGGAAAGAACTTCTTCCTTATATGCAAGCTTTCCCTCTTTTAGTTTTAACCCATTACCCCTTGTCCTATCACTACAGTCCCTAATGAAGAGTCCCTCCCCAGCATCCCTATAGGCCCCCTTCAGATGCTGGAAGGCTGCTATGAGGTCTCCACGCAGCCTTCTCTTCTCCAGGCTGAACAGCCCCAACTTTCTCAGCCTGTCTTCATATGGGAGGTGCTCCAGTCCCCTGATCATCCTCGTGGCCCTCCTCTGGACTTGTCCCAACAGTTCCATGTCCTTTTTATGTTGAGGACACCAGAACTGCACACAATACTCCAGGTGAGGTCTCACACAAGCAGAGCAGAGGGGCAGGATCACCTCCTTTGACCTGCTGGTCACGCTCCTTTTGATGCAGCCCAGGATACGGTTGGCTTTCTGGGCTGCGAGTGCACACTGAAGCTGGCTTAGGCTCATTTTCTCATTGACCAACACCCCCAAGTCCTTCTCCTCAGGGCTGCTCTGAATCTCTTCTCTGCCCAACCTGTAGCTGTGCCTGGGATTGCTCCCACCCAGGTGTAGGACCTTGCACTTGTCATGGTTAAACTTCATGAGGTTGGCATCAGCCCACATCACAAGTGTGTCAGGGTCCCTCTGGATGGC